ACTCACCTCAGCCTCCCAAAGGCGCGGGATTACAGGCTGAGCCACCGAGCCCAGCTCCCGCGTGTTTTCAAAGCAGTGTTTGCTTAGTGACCACCTTGGGGAAGTTTAAAAAAATAAGAAAAGAAAAGAAAAGAAAATCAAGATTTTTTCTCCCTTTCTTTTGGAAAACAAGGAAGAGGAAAGTGGTCTGGACTGACTCTTCTCCAGAGGACTCCAGAGTGGAAAATCCCCACCAAGCAGGCAGCTAGAACACGAGTAAGAGGAGACCTGGCGAGGAGGCAGTGAAGCTGGAGGCAGCATGAGGACCACTGGACAAGGAGTCAGGAGGAGGAAGGCCCCCATCACCTGACCTGGGCAAGCCTCACCCACAACCACCTCTGAGGGTGCCTCTGCACACTCTGCACAGAGTGTGTGTCCCATGACAGTTGTCCAGAAAATGACAGTAAAAGCCCCATTGCTCCGTGTAGGGCACTAGAAAGTGATCAGAAGTGAGGCTTAGCTGGGCACGGTGGCTCACGCCTATCATTCCAACACCTTTGGAGGCCAAGATGAAAGGATTGCCTGAGCCCAGGGGTTGGAGACCAGCCTCGGCAACTTGGCGAGACCTCATCACTACAGTAAGTTTGAAAATTTGCCGGGCGTGGTGGCACACACTTGTGATTCAAGCTACTTGGAAGGCTGAGGTGGGAGGATTGCTTGAGTCCAGCAGGTAGCCATGATTGTGTCACTGCACTCCTGTTTAGGTGACAGAGTGAGACTCTGATTCAAAAAAAAGGTGATGCTTATCCAAAACCACTGTGGTGAGACGCAGGCTCCCAACAACCCAGGCCCCACCTGGAGCCAAAGGCGCTGGACACACAGTCTGACTCTGCCCTCTGGCCCCTCACCCTGGAAGCACCCACAAGGGATGGGAGCAGAATCAACGTGATGTGCAGACTTGGGAGAGGCTGGAGCCCCCCAAGCCAGTCTCGCTCTTCACGCTTCAAGGTGGATGTGATTATTTCCACCTAACAGGGGCTCAGAGGTCCACAGGGGACCCAAAGTCACGTAGCTGGCGAGGGCCCAAGTCAGGATCTATACCTCGGAGTTCACACCTTCCTTCCACACACACCTCCAGGAGGTGTTCAAGGGGGCCTGGTAACTCCGGGCGGACTTGGAACAGACGGTGGTGCGACGAAGTGGCAAGCAGGGGGCTCAAGGTGGAGACCAGGCCTCCTCCCTGCCCAGAAATGCCTAGCCCGCTCTGACCGATCCCAACCACCCCATCGGGGTGGTGAAAAACAACCCAGCACAGCACCAGCTCTGGGGGTTGCCGGGTCACTTGGACTCAGTGTGACGCCCGGCGCCAGCCTGACACATGATCCAGCTGCAGAATCACCGGCCAGCCCTGGTGCCAGGTCCCTAGGACGCAGCAGGACCCCGGGCCACGGGACACAGAGAGAAGGTAGGCGAGGAGGGAGCAGGCTGACCCGAGTTCAGGGAAACTGGGTTCTGCAGGAGGGTAGCTGGAGGGACCCCGGAGAGGGGTACAACTGCTCACCACCCACACAGTCCCCAGCCCCAAGCCTCTGCTCGGGGGTTTCCTCCATGGACACTACTACTATCCCTCTTTTATCCCAAAGGGAAGTTGCCATGACGGCCCCATCCCACCCTCGACCCCCTCCAGTCAGTGTCCCCGGTCCCTGGGCATCCTTCCCTGTCCCACAGTGATATTTCTGCATCTCCCACCAGACCGAATTTCTGGGCAGCTTCATTCCTAGCCCACCCTGGAGAATGTCATCCCTTGGGAGACAGCAGCGTCACAGTCCTCCCCAGTCCAGGTGTGGGATAAATAGCTGCTGATTTATTTCAGGTCTCTCATCAGGAGGAGAGGCTGGCCCCTAATTCTGACCTTAATTACACAGTAGCAAGCCCAGCTGAAAGCCTCCCGGGGTCCACCCACTCTGGACAGCAAATGAGCACATACAAGGACTCCTTCCCCTCCCGGGGCCTGGCCTGCAATTTGCATCTCTGAGACCGTCCTCTGGATGACACCTGCCTGAGAATTATCCCCCAGGATGACAAAGGGGGCTCAAACACCTCTTCCCACCAGGGTAGCCAGGATTTACACTCGGGGGCCCCAGAAATCCCAACCCAGAACACCCCACTGCTTCCACCACCCCCCGGTTCCCCCAGCGCACCATCCAACCTGGACCCGGCTTGCCGAAGGCCACAGGGAAACTGTATAAAAAGCAGCTGTCTTGATTAGGCGCCTACCGTGAGGCTAGGTACCCATGGCCCATTTCACAAATGAGAAAACCAAAGCCTGAAGGGACTTGGATTTACACAAGGATACAAGGCCAGTGCAGACACAGGCCATCACCCCAGCATCCAAGCTCTTAACCCCTAGGTTTCCCTGCCTCTGACAGGCTCCCAGGGACAGAGGGCAAATCCCTAACAAACATCATAGGCAGGGGAACAGAAATGGTACTGGCAAGGTCGTTGGCAATAGCAAAACAGTTACAACGGGCCAGCCAGCCCTTTAGTTCTGAACCGACAGGCTGACATTTGGCGCGTTTCTGCGACTCCTCCAAGGTCACACAGCTAGCAAGGGACAGGATGGGAGCCAGGCCCGCTCTCTGCCCTTCCATGGGATTGCGGGTAAAATGAAGGAAGAAGTACCATGAGTTTAGGGACAGGCCTCTTCCCCAGGCAAAGGGTCTCTGTCCTCCTGAGCCAAGGATCCACGCGAGCCCTCCTGGCCCCAGCGCCACCCTTTTCCCACCCACTGCCCCACCTCTCCCCAGTTCCAACCTCCAAGCAAAGGCGCGAGGTTCACTTACTCTGTGCCAGGTGGCGCGGCCGCTGGGTCTGGGTCTGCGGGGCAGGAGCAGAGGGAGAGCCTGTCAGGCTGGAGGCTGGCCCAGCACGCAGCCCATCCCGCCCCCTTTCTCGGCCTCCCCAGGGGCCCTGCAGACAGGGCCGGCCAGCTTGGGTGTCAACTCGGTCGCCTCCCTCCCCCAGCCGCTGTCACCAGTTCCCCTACCTGTGCTGCACCGCCCCCACCTCCACCCACTGGCCACAACCCAACCCCAGCCCAACCCCAGCGAGAACCAGCCACCCCGCCTGCTGGGGCCTCCCCCACCCCCAGCTCCTCCCAGCCATGGTCCCCACGCCTGCAGGAAGTTCCAGCTAGGCCGGTCCCTAGATTGTCTCCCAGATGACAGGATCTGAGCACCCAGAAGCTGCTGTTTAACACCAACCCTATGGGCACCCTCTGGCCCCTGGGGTGGTGGCTCCCCCAGGGAACCTCAGGGAAGCTGCCCTCTGGCTGCTGTGGCTTCCCTGGGAGAAGCTTCCAGGGAAGGCTTCAGAGACACAAGCTCTGGACAGCAACTGTCTCCAAAGCAGAGCCCAGGCCGACGGCTTCCATTTACAACGTGCCAAAGTGCACCAGATGTTGGGGGAATGCTAGGAATTTCGGGTTCCCAAGGGAAGCAAGAGAATGCAGCTTCTTCCCGATGGCTTTTCCCTTCCTGCTTTCTGGGGACAGCAGAGGGGCCACGAGCCATCCCTGAGAGCCCAGTCTCTATGCTCCCTGCAGCCCCCAAACCAGGGGTTCCCAGAAGCACCTCACCAGCGACAGGGGTGGAGTCCAAGTGGATCAGTGAGGGTTCTGTGTCCCTCTCGGAAGCCAAGCTGGGGACGCCCAGGCCGGTGCTGGTATCCTCTTCATCATCACTGTCGTCAAACTCAAAGGCCTCTCCGGGGTCCTCCTCCGCCTCGTGGGAGGGGCCTGGGGCGCCCGGAACCAGCTGATCTCCTGCGAGAGAGGAGGAGTTAGTCAGGCAGCAGGGTCTCTGAGGTTTGGTGAGACAGAGATGGGTGGGGCGGGTGGGCACCACAGGGCTGAGGGAGGGAACAGGAGCAGCTCTCAGAAACCAGATCACACGCAGGCCAGGTGGCCCTACAGTGCCCCTGAGGTGGGGAGACATCGGCTCAGTCTCTAAGCACATGGCAGCGAGGGAGGGAAGGGGGCCGCTCCCAGGCGAGCATACACACATCTGCACTCGAATGGATGTCTTTCCTCTGCTTGTTTCCTGCTTCCCGGTTTCAAGAACAAGGGGCTTCTTAGATGCACCAGCACGTGTGCACAGGCCTCATGTATGTCTCTGTGCGGGCGAATGGGCACAGGCAGGCACATCCCACACACTGGGCGACGGCACGACATGCAGCTGGGAATGCCTGGAGCCTGAGGCAGCCAGCCGACTTGCAGGTGCTGGGTACAGACCAGCTGGAGCTAGGGCTGGGGCAGGGCCTCTGTCAAAGCTCAGCGCAAGCAGAGACCCTCCCTGGCCACTCTGTTTTCTTTTCTTCTTCTTTTTTTTGAGTCAGGGTCTCACTTTGTCTCCCAGGCTGAAGTGCAGCAGCACGCTCACAACTCACCACAGCCTTGACCTCCTGGTCTCAGGCGATTCTTCCGCCTTAGCCTCCCAAATAGCTGGGACTATAGGCACATGCCATCACCCTTGGCTAATTTTTTTTTCCTGTAGACAAGGTATGTGGCCTAGGCTGGTCTTGAACTTCTGGGCTCAAGCAATCCTCTCATGTCGGCCTCCTAAAGTACTGGGAGTATAGGCATGAGCCACCACGCCTGACCAAAATTATTATTTTGGTTTTTTTTTTGTAGAGATGGGGGGGTCCGCCATGTGGCCCAGATTTGTCTCAAACTCCTGGGCTCAAGCAATCCTCCCACCTCAGCTTCCCAAAGTGCTGGAATTACAGGCATGAGCCACCACACCCATCACCCTAACACAGCAGGTCCAGTCTCCCCTCCACCACCCTTGCCTCTGCTTGTTTTCTTCATCCAGTCCTTGTATGACGTGCAATGATTTGCTCTGTGCTCATCTGCTCAGATCCCTCTAGAAGTAGACATCCCCTACCTATCCCCTCTCCTGTCAGTCCCAGCATGGCCCAGGCTGGAAACCCAGCAGTTTTCATTAAACTAGTGAAGGAATGAACTCCCTGTCCTAGAAAGCACAACAATCCCTCACCTTCTGACTGTTTCCCCAGCAGCGGTTCCATAGTCTTCTTCCGGAAGACTTCTCTCCTAGAATCTGGGGTTGGACGGAACCTCGAGAGTTCACTGAGTCCATCTTCTACCTTGTGCCCACCCTCTCCTGAGCCAGAGGACAGTCTGGTCTGGCTTGAAACATTTGCTAGGCTGACCTGCGCTCCCTGAGCCGCCCAGAGTCGTCCCCTCTCGGTACAGGCCATGTGGCTTAGACGGCAGCTCTGGGCTCAGAGGGCCCTGCCTCGGCCCCCTGCTAGCTGTATGGCTTTGAGTGAATCATACCACCTCTCTGAACCTTGACATCCTCCCCTCGACACTGGAGAGTAAAAAAGCAGCACTTTCCGTGTAAGGCTGACATGACCATCCACTGAGATGCAGGTTTCTCAGCCTGGGCACTCTTGACCTTGGGTTGGAAGGTTCTTTCTCGAGGGGGGGCTGTCCTGTAGGGTGTTTAGTGGCAGCCCTGGCTTCTGCCCTCCAGTTGTGATGACCAAAAATGTCTCCAGACATTGCCACATATCTGGCTGGGGAGCAAAATAGCTGCTAGTTGGGAACCACTGGGGTGGGCATGGCCCACGGCACACAGCCTGTAGCATACGGATTATGACCACAGCAACAGCTGCTGTAGTTACTGTCCCCCTCCCAGCCTCAGATCCTGGAGGACAGGCAGATAGCTTAGTTCATAGTCATTAGACTCCACAGAGCAGCTGCTCAATACACATTGGACGGATGGATAAGTGAGGGGTGAGGGAGTGGATGGAACAAAGCGAGGGACGGATGGGCCAGCAGATGGACAGAGGGACATGCCTGATCCAATACCTCTCTGATCAGAGACTCCAGCCCCTACCCCACAGTGACCCGGAGCTTCCCAGAACAGAATATTCTCCATGCAAATATAGTAAGCCCTTTCTTCAGCTGCAGGACAGCAGGGCATGCCCAGGACACGCCCTCCCTCCCCAGGTGGGGAGTCCCCAGCCTCCTCTGAGGCTCCGGGGCCCTTCCTGGTGCTTTGGGGACCCATGGGCGAACATCGGCAGGGGCGGATTCCCCTGGGCAGTGATGTGGCCTGAGGAGCAAACTAAACTCCTTCCCCAGGTATGAAGAAACAGGCACCTTGGGGAGACTGACACGCACCCACGCAGCTTCCCACTGATGCCTCACAGTCACCCCCACTTCAAACAGACCTCAGGGACTGAGGTGAAGCGATTTCCCCAAGGTCAAGCAGTTAATAAGGGAGGCAGACTTGAACGCAGCCCTGCTCACCTCCTATACTCTTCCTAATAAGCCCTGCAGCCTCCCAGAAGCGGTTTGAGCCTTCGGACCCTCAGCCCTGTGATGACAAATTAACAAAGGAGATATAGGACTTGGTGGGGACCGGATTCCTGGTTTTCAAATGACAGTTCTCAACCTCTCAGAGAGGAAAATCAATCGGGATTGCCAGTCAGAATTTCATTGTCTATTTAAATTGCTGGGTTCAGATATTTTAAAACATTGTTAAGGCCAGGCTCAGTGACTCAGCCTGTAATCCCAGCACTTTGGGAGGCCAAAGTGAGAGGACTGCCTGAGCCTACAGGTTTGAGACCAGCTGGGCAACTTGGCAAGACCTCGTCTCTACAATAAACTTTTTTTTAAATAGCTGATGTGGTAGGCAAAAGGATCGCTGGAGCCCAGCACGTCAACGCTGGGGTGGCCGTGAGCATGCCTCTGCACTCCAGCCTGGGCGATGGAGTAAGACTTCAACTCAAAAAAAAAAAAAAAAAGTCTGTTAGAGTAATAAATCATATTATGACTTTTACTAAAAAAAAAAAAAAATTGACTTTGAATTATTTCAGATATTTTTAAATATTGTATTGTAGCCAGGCACAGTGGCTCGCACCTGTAACCCTAGTACTTTGGGAGGCCAAGGTGAGAGCACTGCTTGAGCCCAGGAGTTCAAGACCAACCTGGGCAACATAGCAAGACCTCAACTCTAAAAGAAATAAAAAAATTATTTGGGTGTGGTAGTGTGCACCTGTAGTCCCAGCTACTCGGGATGCTGAGACAGAAGGATCACCTGAGCCCAGAAGCTCGAGGTTGCAGTGAGCTGTGATCGCACCACTGCACTCCAGCCTGGGTGACAGAGTGAGACTCCGACTCTAAAAAATATATATATTGTATTATAACATGAATGAAATCACATTTGTATAACCATGATGTTATTTTTGACACTTCTATTTCTGTTATACACTATGTATAGTGTGTGTGTGTACACTCATGCGTGCATATGTGTATGTGAGTGTAGAATCTTCTGCTCTGGCCTGGCCCACACCAATCTCCTTCCTGGGTCATGAATGTCAGGACCTTTGCACTTGCAGTCCCAGGCCCAGAACATTCCCCACTGGGTGCCTTCTCCTGCTCTCACCTCCTGCAGGTCTTAATGTCATCTCGTCATCTCTCGGTGAAGCTGCCACAGACACTTCCTGAGGCTCCCTGGGTGCCTTGCCCACCTTATTTTTCTCTGTGGACTTTATCAGCATGTGATGTGATATGCTTTTATTTTTTGAGTTGGAGTCTCACTCTGCCGCCCAGGCTGGAGTGCAGTGGCACAATCACAGCTCACTGCAGTCTAGATCTCCCAGGCTCAGGCACTCCTTCTACCTCGGCCTCCCAAGTAGCTAGGACTACAGGTGCATGCCACCACACCCAGCTTCTTTTTTTATTTTTTGTAGAGACAAGGTATCACTATGTTGCCCAGGCTGGTCTCAAACTCCTGGCCTCAAGCAATCTTCCCACCTCACCCTTGCAAAGTGCTGAGATTATAGGCATGAGCCACCCTGTCCAGCAATATGTTCTTTCTTTTACTGTCTGTCTCCTCTGCTAGGATACAAGCATCATGAGGGCAGGTATTTTTGCCTATCTGTTTTGCTGTTGTATCCCCCAGCACACAGCACACTGTCCAGCACCCAATAGGCACATGATGTGTTTGGTACACACGTATACACACACACACACACACACACACACACAAACACACACTCCAGTTGCCATATCCATGGATTGTGGTTTTAAATGTTGAATACTGGAATAAATGACCACAAAGTTCCGCCCACTCCTTTTGTGGCAGATCCAGGCCCCTCGTGACTCATAGGGCTTACCTAACCTCTCAGTGCCCCGGTCCTCACCCAGTTGAATCTGCCAGGCAGGAGGTGAGTACAGGGATCCCTTTAGACGCAGGTGGCATCCCTGCAGTGACCAAGGTTTTAGAGGCAGACCACCCAGGCTCAGCCCAGACCCCAGTGTACCCAGGAACCAGCTATATGAAGTCAGGTTATGTGACGATCAAGCCTCACTGTCCTGATCCATGAAGGGAGGACGGTCATGGGCGCCACCTCACAGGGTTGTTGGGAGGATGGGATGTGCTCACTAAATGGCAACTATTCTTGTGATGATGACTCTACTTGTTATTGTCACCATCGTTACATCATCACTATCTTATTATCACTGTCATGATGATGATGACGACAGCTTTGTTGTAGCCCAGCTCACCCCTGGAAAAGACAGCAGCCCTCCCCACTCACAGGCGACCCTGCCCCCAGCCATGTGCAGGGGCTCAGCCACTTGGGTCCCTTCCTCCTTGAAGAGTACCAATCACTTCGGTCCCCGTGACATCACCCCTGCATCCAGTAAGCAACTCTGGCAGCCCTGGGCCAGGAGGCTGCAGTAGAGGGGAGACACGGTTCCTGGGTATCTGGAGGGGCCTGTGGAGCAGGGGAGACATCTAGCAGGAGAAAAACCCTCAAACCCCAGAGACTGAGAGGGGGCCGGGAGAAAGGGAGCTGATGCTCACTGGGACTTCGGGAAAGGCTTCCGGCGTGAGGCTGCCCTGGCCTGAGCCTGGAGGGTCGAGAAAAGCCTGAAGGGTGCAGGTTGGGGCACTGGGGAGACTCCAGGTTGAGGTCACAGCAGAAGCAGAGAACAAACAGCAAGTGATGGGGGAGTGAAGGCTCCAGCAAGGATGAGGGTGCGAGGCAGGGAAAACCCCTGCTCGGGAATTTGAACTTTATCTGGGAAGACAATGGGAAGCGCTCAAAAACTCAGCAAATGGCAAGGAGCCGCGTTCCCAGATGACACCAGCCCCAATATCAGACTGAGCTGGAACAATACATGCTTGTTGGATGTCTGCTGGGCCAAACAGATGTAACTTGGTCCTCAACCATCTTTTCCTCACTTCCTGTGGTCTGGCCCCGCTGTGGGCAGGGGAGAAGGAGCAGGTGCCCACAGGGCACGGACCGGGGACCATCCTGGGACCCAATTCCGGGTGATAAATGAAGAAATGAGAAGCGCTTATTCCCAAAGCCCCCCTCCTGGAAGGCTGCCCTCTCTCCAAGCAGACTTTGCTCTCTCAGAGGCAGAATCACTGGCCCACCTCCAGGGAACTGAGAGCTGCACAGGTCCTTCCTAGGATCGGGACAGGTAGCATGATCAGAGCATGTCACTCGCACCTCTCATGTTCCTGGACAGGCCAACCCAAGCAAGTCCAGGAGGCAGGGGAGCCCAGGGAGCCACACGCAGCCATGGAGAAGGCAGCCTGCTGTGCTGACCTCCACCCTTCAGGGGACAGCCTTGAGGCTGGGCAGGGGGAGCCCCAGCCCTCGGTTCTCCCAGGGGAGCAGAGCACGGCACACACTGTGGGTCCCGCCAACACCCACGATGACCAGCGCGCCCACCATTGAGCAACTGATCAGCACACTCCTGTGCATGACACATATTTAAACCCTGTCATGGCCCAGGAGAGGGTATCATTATTTTCCCCGTGTTTACTGATGATGAAACTGAGCTATGGAGACACTGTGTCACTTAACTGAGCCCAGAGTCTTTCAGTAGCAGGGTCGGGATTCAAACTCAGACCGTGCTGGCAACAAAACCCTGGTGTTACCACTCAGCTACCCTGCCTGCCCCCGGGGGCAAGGGGACAGGAAGTGGCCGTGGGTGAAACCGCCTGGGGTCTAGGTCCTGCAGGCGGGGCCTGGATCCACCTGTGGCCAAGGCCCTGCTCCCAGGGCTGCCAAGTAAAACACAGGGCGCTGCATTGAATTTCAGATAAACAACGAATAGCTGTGGCAGTATAAGGATGTTGTTCTTCCCTTCTTTTGCTGAATCTGGCAACCCCACTGGGGCCTGATGGTCCGACCCTCCCTGCATCCCGGCTGCCCCCTCCTGCCCCTCAATCCCCAGATCCCCATCTGTCCCTCCCTCCAGGGGAGCTCAGAGTAAAGGATTAACCCTTGCCCAGAGCCCGCTCTGGCAGGAGGAAATCACTTCCATTTTGTAGATAAGGAGGCCGAGGCAGGGAGTGAGGCTCAGAGCTGGAGGCGGCAGAGTGGACTCACACCCAGGACCAGCCCGCTCCAAAGCCAGGCCCCCGCCAGCCCCACGGCCCGCTTCTGGGGTGGGGGACAAGCAGAGGCAGGAAGCCTTGGGTACGATACCTCTGTCAGGCTGTGGAGGAGGGTCGGAGGAAGCCATCAGACAAGACCCAGCTCAGGCCGGCACCGTCCCGCCGCACGCTGTGGAAAGAAGGCCAGAGACCTGGTTAGACGGAGCTCGGGGGGACGTGCTGGCGGCAACCTGCGTTCCAGCCTGGCGGCTTCACGCTCCTGCCCATCCACTCCTGGAGCGAAGGGCCCAACCTCCACCCATCATAAATCATTAACCTGGAGAAAAACCTGCAGCTGCACAGCCGAAACCCGTCTTCCCTGACGACTCCTGCGGTCCCAGGCCTCCCTCCCGCCCATGCCAAGGGACCCGCGGGAGCCTGCTGGGGCCAGCTCAGCTCCCCTCCCTGTACCCTCTGGCTCACGGGTGAAGCTCGGGTCCCAGGGGCCCTGGTGTTCCAGAAGCTGGATCACGCCTGAGCCGTCCTGGGTAGGGTTGGACGCTTCCTCCTGCTGGCTGCCAGGAGCTACCAGCTCCCTCAGGTCTGCTCACTCTCCCCGGTTCCTTCCTGTGGCCCCACTGAAGGCCACTCTCTCCTTGACTCTCCCTGTCCCGCCCCACAGTTCGGCCAGCTGGCAAGGGGTCACCCGGCCTCGGCACGTGCGTGTAAGGAAGCCAAGGGTGGCAGGGGCTGGTGGCATGGGATGGGGTGGAATCCCAAATGCCAGGCGCTGGGCCCTCCCCTCACAGGCTCCCATAGGAGGCCAGTGCCTCTGTGGGCTTCCTGAGCTCCAGGCCAACCTTGCCAGATGTCCCCTGCCAAGCAGTGTGGGAAAGACCTTCCCCCACTCCCCACGGCCCCCTCTGCCCTGGAGCCAGGGGCTGTCCTCTGGGACTGCCCTGCGGAGGAGAGAATCGGTCCTGGAGGGCAAGCACCCGCCCTCCAGTGCCGCCTGCCCCTGCCACAAGCCCCTTGCACCGGTTTCCCTTTCCATTCCTAAAGTCTTTGTTTTTATTCCCTAGCTTACCAAATCGATGGAGTGTAGGTACATGACACTATTAGCCACAGAAATACTCCATGGCGTGCCTTCCACATCTCAGATGTTATTCTAGGCACGTTACAAACATTAACATCTATTAGTCCAAACTGTAAATCAGAAAATGAGGCCTAGAGTGGTTAAATAACTTGCCAGAGATCACACAGCTAGGAAGAGTAGGGTTTGAATCCAGGCCACAGGGCTCCGGGGTCTGTGCCCATAAGCAGCCACTGTGCTGTAGCGCCTCTCCAGATGCAAGCAACCAAAGGGGCACAAGAAACGTCTTCCCCTCACCCCATTTGCCCTCATCCCGCCAAAAGAACCACTGGTACCAGCTTCTCAAGAATCCTTCCAGAACCATCCCGTGCATGGCCAGCCTGCATATCCACAGATATGCCTTGCTTTATACCAGAAAGAGGCACGTGGCACCCACCGTGCCACAACTGCCAGTCTACTGACATCACCAGCTCAGTGATGACTTCAGAGTAGCACAGAGAAATCAGCCTCACTTTTTGTTTTTGTTTTTTTCAGGGACAGAGTCTTGCTCTGTTGCCCAGGATGGAGTACAGTGGCACAATCATGGCTCACTGCAGCCTCGAACTCCTGGGCTCAGGCGATCCTCCACCCTCAGCCATTTGAGTATCTGGGACTATCACACCTGGCTAACTTTTTAGTTTTTTGCTTGGTCCTCTCTTTGTGGTCCCGGGCCTCGCAGCACTTGCCCAGGTGACCTCCCGGGCTGCCCCAAGCACAGAGTCAGCAGGGTAGCCCATGGAACATGCCAAGCACACACCGGGTCTCGAGCAAGTGCTTGCCCACCTCCTCTGGCTGTTTTTCTAAGTCTTCCCTGAGCCATGTGGGATCTGGAAGCTTTCAAGGTGGGAGTCTAAACCAGGGGATCAGTTTTGCGATGGCCCTGAGGCAGAGCTCACTCTGGAAAGCAATCCAGAACCTTCCTGCCACAACAGTCCCTGGCAAAAGAAGCAGAAAAGCTCGCGAAGGTATCGACGGAAAACCAAACATGACCCAGCAGAGCACAGAACCACGTCCACCTTAGGATTCCAACTACATTTTAAAATCTCACAGAGGAAAACATGTGGAAAGAAATTCACTAAGACGTTGACAGCGTCACGCCCGGGTGGCAGGGTCACAGGAGATTTTCTTTTTACCTTCTATTACTCTGAATTTCCCAGATTTTCTACAGTGAGCATTATAATGAGGGAAAATAAAAATAACCACTCTTTTATTTTTTTAGAGACAAGGTCTTGTTCTATTGCCCAGGCTGGAGTGCAGTGGCACGATCATAGCTCACTGCAGCCTCAACCTCCTGGGTTCAAGTGATCCTCCTGCCTCAGCCTCCTAAGTAGCTGGGACTCCAGGTGTACACCACTGGGTCCAGCTAATTTTTTATTTTATTTTTATTTATTTATTTACTTTTAGAGAGACATAGTCTCACTCTGTTCCCCAGACTGGTCTCAAACTCCTGGGCTCAAGCAAACCTCCCATCTTGGCCTCCCAAAGTGCTGCAATTACAGGCGTGAGGCTCCACGTCTGGCCTTACCATTATCATTTTTAAAAAGAGAGCTGTCAAGCCAGGCTCGGTGGCTCAGCCTGTAATCCCGCGCCTTGGGAGGCTGAGGTGAGTGGATAGCCTGAGCCCGCGGGTTCGAGACATGCCTGGGCAACTTGGTGAGGCCTCATCTCTACAATAAATCAAAAAATCAGCCGGGTGTGGTAAGGCGCGCCTGTAGTCCAGCTACATAGAAGGCTGAGGCCGATGGATCGCCGGAGCCCAGCAAGTCAAGGCTGCGGTGGCCGGGAGCGTGCCACTGCACTCCAGTCTGGGTGACGGAGTTAGACTCCAACTCAAAAAAAGAAAAAGAGAGCTGTCACAGAAGGACCATGGTGTGTTGGATCCAGAGAGCAGCTCAAAGGTGGTAGTGTTGCTCTCTCCACAGGTGTGGAAACTGAGTCCACAGGAGGGGAAGAGCCTTGCCCACAGCACTGTGGCCCTAGAAAGGCAGTGACAGTGAAGGCCATGACCAGAGATTTGTTCCCAGGATGATCCGAGTTCAAAGCCCAGCTCTGCCCTGGTCAGCAGTAACAGGGGACACTTTTCTCACTTCAAGGGTGAGAGTGACACCAGCACTCGCCTCTCAGGTATCCTTGTCAGGGAAACAAGGACACGGTGGTGGAGCAATGAATTCCACGGTGCCCCACATGGAGTAAGTGCTGAATGGGCCCTGCCATGATAGTGAGACTGTCCGTGCTGTGATTGGTGGCCAGGTTTTAGGAGATTGTCTTCTCTTGAGGGGTGAGGGGGGAATCACCTTTTTAAAAATAGACTGCCGCTGAGCGTGGTGGCTCACACCTGTAATTCCAGCACTTTGGGAGACTATTGTGGGAGGATTGCTTGAGCCTAAGAGTTTGAGACCAGCCTGGACAACACAGTGAGACCACCTTTCCACAAAAATTTTCAAAATTACCCAGGTGTGGTGGCATGCGCCTGTAGTTCCAGCTACTCGGGAGGCTGAGGCCGAAGGCTCGCTTGAGCCCAGTAGGTTGAGGCTGCGGTGAGCCATGATTGTGCCGCTGCACTTCAGTCTGGGCAACAGATTGAGACCCTGACTCGATTAATTAATTAATTAGATGACTGCCAAGACCCCTGGCAGCTCTCTTTCCCACTATGCTGTGAGGATGGCTTAGGGGAGGCCTCTCTATCTGGCCCCACCCAGACAGGGCAAGCTTCGAGGAAGCCCCGATCTCCCAGCTGTGGGGCGTGCCCACCAGAGCCTGAGGCAGGTGCACTCAGTAACGGCAGTGGAGCCGGCACCGCCCTCGGCTGGCCCACTAACAGCAGCAGGTGTCTTCCTGGCTCTGGCTCATTCAATCAAAGCACTTATCGGTTCTCCCTCCCTCCAGGGTTCAAAGTCCACCTGCCCAGGACCCGAGGGAAACCTTCCCGCCTGCACCGGTCCCAGGCCAGCCCCAACTCATCCTGTAAAACTCCCCCTATTCAGGACCATCTCCAACCCCCCAGCAGGCCGCATGGCCCCATCTCTCTTCCACCCGAAGGAGGCCCGGAGGAACACACCTGGGGCCTGAGAGTCTGCAGGAACTCGAGGACAGGGGAGGTTGGCCGCTGGGGAGAGGTCAGTCAGGGAGGGGAGGGCAGGCGGGGCTCCAGGCAGGCCCAGAAGCTGGGGAAGCAGCAGACACGGGCATCCCCGAGTTGGGTGGCCATGCACGAGGAAGGGTGGCCGCCACCACCCTTGCACAGAGGGCAATAGGAACAGGTCCTGGCCAGGCACCCACCTCAGACACTGGCCTCAGAGGCATTCTGGAGGCGTCTGTCTCCCAGAGCCAAAAAGAAAGTGGGCAGGGGGAGAGGAAGATGAAGTACTGGCTATGTGTGGTAGCTCGGTGGGAGGATTGCTTGAGCCCAGGAGTTTGAGACCAGCCTGGGCAATAGAATGAGACCTCGTGTTTACAAAAAAAAAAAATCAAAAATTAGCCAGGTGTGCTGGCGCACACCTGTAGTCCCAACTACTCAGGAGGCTGAAGGGGGAGGACTGCAGGAGGCTGAAGGGGGAGGACAGCCTGAGCCTGGGAGGTCGAGGCTGAGATGAGCCGCAATTGTGCCACTGCACTCCAGCCTGGGCAACACAGCGGAACTCCCACTAAAAAAAAAAAAAAAAAAAAAGACAAGGTGCTCAGGTTGTCGGCTCTCCAAGCACTCTCTGGCTTCCGCCTCCCATCAGCTATGCCTCTGGCCAACCGGCCCCCACCCCTCCCACCGCAGTGACTGTTCCACACACCTGAGCGTGTCACCCATTGGTCAAGCCCTTCCTCATCACCTTCAGAACGAAGCCCAGGTCTAGCAAGGCTCTCCAAGATGCACCCCCTCCATAGGACTCTCTGTTCTCAGCAGCTCCCAACCTGACCTGGAACCTGGACGTCTGCTTCAGTCCTCATGAATGGCTTTCAGCCCCGAATCTGTGCTGACCTCTTTTATACCTCTGGGCCTCTGCTCAGGCTGTGTGTTCCCTCCAGATGGAATTCTCTCCCACAACCACGCCGACAAACACCTAAACGGTCAAACAGTCAAAATCCAGACCTGTTTTCTCCTC